TGTCGCCAGTGTGCTGCGTTACTGTTTACATGTGTGAAAAGTGTGTTTGAAAACGAGTCTGATTGCAGAACAAGGTTTCTTAGGAGTATGGCCCGAGACGTGCCTACCTCGCTCCGGAATGACCCCCCTGGGCGGCCAGTACACGTGGAAAAGTAACCTCTGCACAGGCAGGTGCACGCGTGAGGTGTTCAGCGTGGATGTTTTTTTCGTGATCTGGGCATACTTGTTCCCGTACAGCGGAGCCTAGCGGACGTTGCCCAGTCAGTTACAGTCACACGTCCCGTGCACTAGTGGACGTGGTTGGTGTGTCAGTATATGTGTACAGGGCAAGGCCAGAACGGCCCTCTTTGCTCTGGGTGGAATGTGCGGGTGGATGCGGGAGTGAGGAAAGCCTCTTGATAAGTGCTGGGGCGCAACCAGCTGAAAAGCGTCGAGGAATGTGCGTGTTTGAGCATCGGATATGTCTGCGTGGTGATGAACGTTCTGTGTTAATGTACGTGGACGAGTGGCGATTGGCCTCGCTACCTTTCAATTCAATTCAATTCTTCTCCCTCTCTCTCCTCTCAAGTTCATTCATTTCTTTTTGCAATTGGACAGCATTGTACTTTCTGATGAATGTGTACTGCGAAATTGGCCAGGATCGTAACAAAATGAGAAGTAAGACGGCTAAGGCTTGTGTGTACCAGGCCCCCGCTGAAGTCCCCCCTGCGGGGCACCAGGAAGGGCTCCATCTATAGGTGCACGTGGTGTGTGAGCAGAACGAATGTGGGTACTTATATCAGGATTTCCGCCAGGGAGAGGGCGTGGGGGGGAGAGGGATCTGGGAAATCCAAAGGAGGGCGCAGCGGGACCGAGGGTTCCACTGCTACCCAGTCCTTGAACACTCAACGGTAGTCCCTCGTTCTTTCTCAAATCCTTGTGTCCATCCACCCTATCCCCACTCCATTCTACCTTTGCTATCCACCCTTCCCTTTCCTCTCCCATCCAATCTGCAGAATGCTGTAATCGTTCTCCTGGTGTCAGCAACGTGTATGAAAAGGTCCAGTTGGAATTTCGTCTCCAGCCATCTCCGTGTGAGCTCCAGCTGTACTTGCTGTTGGATCTGCTCTGCGATTTCCGCCCCCTCTATCCTCACCTTCTCCAGGGCTTGGATACACCTCTGCCACCAGAGTGGCCACATCACCCCCCTCCGTCTGAGCCTGTTCATGTTCTCCACAAAGGCCGTGGTTTCCCCTGCCAAGGGCCAGCTATTCTCCAAATGTGAAAATGACGACTGCATCTTCAATACGCACGTTACTTTTTTCCCCTTTCTCGGATATGCTGACTCTTGGAGTGACCCCCTTCGTTTCTGTAGTCTTCTGAAAGCTGCCGCCCCATCCCTCCCCAATCCCCCTAGTCCTTCCTCAGAAAGCTTCACCATAAAAAAAAGGCCTACGGCACCTGCCTGGAGGTTAAATGCCGCACACATGTAAATGCTGAGAAACAGGCCACGACTACAGGTTAGTTTTTTTTTTTTTTTTTTTTTTTCAATTACCTGTTGAATCTGGACAGGACGGCCTTTCAGGCCACATCTGTGCTCAGACCTCCAACGAGGGAACGTGCAAGAGCTGCACCCACCAGCAGGTGCGATACCTGCTACAGCAGGTGGGCGATACCGGCCAGGGGTCAGCCGGTAGCATCAGGACCGAGCTTCTTCGATGGGCCAGTCAC